GATTTATAAAATGGAGAGAATAACAGTATGTGCCACATAGGGTTGTGTGGAGACTGAATGAGTTGGTGCATGTGGGAAGTACATTAGCGGTGCCAGTTGTTATTCTGGGTCACACATGCATTCGTTCATAATTCTAATTATTGCTGACAGACCATCTCATGCTATACTATAGGACCTTGGCAACCATGATTCTCTTTGCATGAAAGATTTGCTCCTGAATAAACTATACCCTTCAATTCCAAATTCAAATGTTGGTTTCAACTAGAGCTTCCCTTAAGCCTCTGTAGTAGATCAGAGTCTCAATGTCCTGGGTTCCTTTTTTCATTGAGCTTATCAGTTTGCAATTGTACACTTGGCTACAGTGACCAGAGATCCCTCGCTAGACTATGTGCTCTATAACAGCAAGACCCATCCGGGTTGTTGTTTATCGTTCTGCCTTCAGTGGCTAGCAGAGAATAGATGCTCAATTAGTACTTACTGCCTGCACTGAGGGAGCAAATGTGCCATCATGGTACTAAGACAAAGAGTAAAAGATCAACAGTCCCTTCCCTTAGGAGTACATAGTCAACTAAAAGTTGGCGTCGAGTCTGGAATCGATGTTAATTGTGCTGGTGAATAATGAGGAAGGCCAACCTAAGGCAATGACAATGCATCAAGTCATCTGGCTCTTTGGCCTAATTACTGGCTCTGGCAGGCTCCAGAGCACTTGATGGCATAGTTCCAAGGACAGGCAATGAAAATCTGACTAGTAAAGCAGAAGAATGGGTCTAAGCCCCATCAGAAAGTCACATCTGGGGACCCTCAATTCATACTCACTCTTTGGCTTGCTATTAGCAGAAAACTCTTAAGAAGGTCCTCTCCATTGTTTCCTCAAGAATTTATTCAGGTTCTTACTGACTGTATCTCTGAAAACTTTCTTTCTTCCTGCAAAAAAACTTTATGTTCCTTTATGAATTCAGTGACACTTGTGAATCTCAGGGGTTTATTTTTTTGAAAGATTTATTTATTTATTTGAAAGTCAGAGTTACACAGAGAAAGAGGCAGAGGCAGAGAGAGAAAGGTCTTCCATCTGATAGTTTACTCCCCAAGTGGTCCAGGAGCTTCTTCTGGGTCTCCCGTGTGGGTGCAGGGGCCCAAGGACTCAGGCCATCTTATACTGCTTTTCCAGGCCATAGCAGAGAGCTGGATTGGAAGTGGAGCAGTAGGGACTCAAACAGGTACCCATATGGGATGCTGGCACTGTAGGCAGCAACTTTACCTGCTAGGCCACAGTGCTGGCCCTTTATTCTTTTGACCTAAACCTATTTTGCTATCATCATATTTGACCATATCTTCAAACCTTGCTTGATGTTTCACCACATCTTCAAACCTTGCTTGATATTTCACAACCAGGCATACTCAATCCAATCTACCCATGCAGTGTGTAGGCAATTAGGGATTAATGGACTTCATCTCAAATCCGGCTGACTTATGTTGTTGTTGGTATATTTCCATTTTCTTTTTTAAGTTCACAAGAACAATAGCTTAACAGTGATGAGTGTCATCAGCAAGCATTTATTAAGTACTTACTTTCTTATTAAATAGGCTGTTGCATATAGGACTTTAGGTTATAGGACTTCAGTATCTCTGCCAAGAGATACTGGTTCTATGCCTCTGGATTAATTAGCTAGTGAATGTACTATGCCCTAGTTTCTCTCTATAGTATGTGGATAATTGTGACACTTGCATTATAGGATTCCTGTGGTAATGCTTAGAATAATACTTGCACAGAGGAAGTGCCCAATCCTGATAGTGATAGGGTAATGCTGATGCTGACAATATGCTCCTCAATTGTGAAATCTCTCATGATCTCAACCCAGGGATTTATATTAAGGTTGCCCTGGACTGACTATGCATATAGGTATGTGCTATAGGCAAACTCAGAATATCTCCGGAGACAGGTATCCTTCATCTGAAGTCACACAGAATCCCCAATCCCCACAATTCTTTTTAAGGATGATGACTAACATATGATTAAAAATGACCAAACACACAAGGAAACAAGGTACCCAGAGTGAGAAAAAGCTGAAACAACAGGATAAAAACAAAATGCAAAGACTTCAGATATTAGACTCATTAATAAAAAATTATAAAACAATGGATTTAAACTACTTTTATGAATAAAAGGGAAGGTTGAGAACAGCTTCAAGGAATAGGAGACTCTGAAAATGACAGAGATGATCTTTGTATCATTGTAGCTGAATTTTTTCTTTTTTTTTTTTAAATTTTATTTATTTGATACAGTTACAGACAGTGAGAGGGAAAGGCAGAGAGAGAGGTCTTCCTTCCGTTGGTTCATTCCTAGATGGCCACAATGGCTGAAGCTGCGCCAATCTGAAGCCAGGAGCCAGGAGCTTCTTTCATGTCTCCCACATGGGTGCAGGAGCCCAAGGACTTGGGCCATCCACTACTGCTTTCCCAGGCCAGCTGGGACTAGAACCAGTGCCCATATAGGATGCCGGCGCCACAGGCAGAGGATTAACCTACTGCGCCACAGAGCCGGCCCCAGCTGAACTTTTTCTTTAGCTGTTCCCTTCACCTTAGGCTTCTAATCAGCCTGGCTGGTTGATTTCCTTTTTTAGGTCTAGGGTTTGACTTGAACCCTCATCCTATGGTTAGGGCCCTAAAATATGATCTTTGGTATTGCCCATTCCCAGATGAAGGGGTTAATTCCATTTCCTTGACAGAGCTGGAAGTCTGTCCACAAATGCACAGGTGTTCTTGGACCTTGGCTTCTTTTACTTCCACTCCTCTGTCCACTTTGGCTTCTATTTCACAGAAAACAGGGCTCAAATGGTTAAAATGGTAAGGAGATTTGCTATTTTACATAACAGGAACTCAAATAGTAGGCTGGGCCTTAGGGTTAGTTAATTCAGCAGCTCAGCCATGGACTTGGGCTCTTTCTCTTCGCCTTACCATCCACACGACTGGTCTCATTGGACAGCTGGTTCCACTCATCTCAAAATGGCAACAGAGGCAATGCAAAGCATGTGTCTCTCTTCAAGCCCGGACAGAGAAAAAGAAAGCTCTCCTTAAAAGCCCTAGATACAACTGGTCTTCTGTTGTGGCTGGGGCAATGCAGGTCATGTGATCACTGGCCTAAAACTATTTACTGATTGGCTTAAATCTGAAATCATGAACCAATCCCTGGCAAGGAAGAATTGATTTATGTAAATGGCTTAGAGCAGTGGTTGATGGTTCTGAGTGTAGCACTGTGAGAAGTTAAGGGGCTGTAACTATTGTCTCGCATTTGGGGCAACAAAAGGAAGAGAAACTAAATATCTTGTTAAGCAAAAAGCACTAGAGTACAGTGATGTGATCTCACACAATAATATATTGCCTGTGATCTTCGGGAATTAAAAAGAATACCATTATTGAGAAGTAATTTGTATATCATAGAACTCACCTAATTCAAGTATACAATTCAATTTTGTTTTTTGGTTAATTTAAGAGTTATGTAGCTATCACAAAAGCGAATTTTAGTACATTTTCATGAATCCTTTTCTCTCGCTTCCCAAAACCCATAACCATAGCAACCATTCAACTCCCCCCCCCCCCAACCCCAGGAAACTACTAATTTGCTTTCTGTCTCGATCTGTCTGTATCTTCTGGATATTTGATGCAAATGGAATGAAACAATGCGCGGCCCTTGGTGACTGGCTTCTTTCACTCATCCTACTGTTGTCAAGGTTCATCCGTGGCATAGCAAGCATCAGTGCTTCCTTCCTCGTCAGTGTGAGTAATGTTTCATGTCTAGAAATATCACATTTTATTCCTTCCATCCATCCATTGAGGGATATTTGAATTGCTGCCTCTGTTTTAGTTATTATCTGTAATGCTACCTTGGGCATTTGTGTCCAAGTTTTTCATGGACATTTGCTCCTACGTAATCTGCAAGTGGGAATATTCCCGCTGCTGATCATCTGCCTGCATTGTATAGGCCTGATTCCCACATAGGCATAAAGCATTGTTGTACCAGGTTCTGTGTTCCTGAATGTTCTAAGAATGCAGCAAAACGGTGGGCAAACTGGATCAGGCTTTCTTTGGGACTTTACAAGGAATTATTTGCTATTGCAAAAGATACTGTCATGGATCTATGAGAGAGGAGGAAGAGTAAAACCCTGGGCAGAAGTCAACAGGAGTCCCATAATTCCTAGCATTTGCCAGCATGCTGATCCTGATGTTTGGAAAGCTTGGCTGTATTTCCTACCTTGTTACCTGGTGATCCCTCTTTCTCTCTTCGCTTCAAGTCATTTCATAGATTCTGCTCTTTGCAACCAAAAAAATCCAGAAGTAAGAAAGGCAGGTGAGAAAATAACTACAAATATAAAATATGCCAATAGATGGAGAAAACGGCCTTTTTGTTGAGAACAGTGCAGAGCCTGCCTGTGAGGGGCAGAGACGCCACAATAAAAAACTATATGGGACGGGTAGGAGCTGAAGGCCTTCCCTGTGTCTGGACAAGGAACACTGAAAGTTGCCTGGGCTCAGCAACCAAGCTGCACACTTCTGCGAAGAACAAGGCGGACCTGTGGCTGACTAGTTAACCTTGTCTTTGCAGAGTTTAGACTTTCTGTGTGCATGAGGAGTTCGGCACGTGTGTACTTGCCTGCAGGCATGTGAGTGGGTTTAAAGCAGATTTCTAGGTTCTTCCCCAAGGGATGAATATCTTCAAAGGACTGAGTGTCTGCGAATCTTCTGTTTTAGTCTGCTTTATCTGTTACTCCAACAAAATATCTGAGAGTGGGTATTATATAAATAAGAGAGGCTTACTTGGCAAAGAGTTCTGGAGGTTCCAGGGCATGGCATAGGCATTGGCTCTGGCTCTGGTGAGGGTCTCAAGGCAGATGGCATTACAGTGGCAGGAGTGCTTTTGAGATGGAGGGATCATGGGGTGAGACAGGAAGCCAGAACTCAGCTGTGGACTCACTGGGGCCCCACAAGAATGTAGCAGATTGCTCCTCCTCTCTTAAAGGTCCCCGCACCACTTATCAGCGCTACACACAGAATCCAGCTTCCAACACAGGCGTTGGAAGGCATCGGGAGGACACACTCACACCCGATCCCTCCTGCCTCCCTCCCCGCTGTGATTTGGATTCAAATTTGGAGAACTCTGCTTTAAATACAAGGATTCGGGCGTTTTTCTGACCGAGGCAAGAGTGAAAGAGGGAAAGCGTTGCCAGAATGTCCCCCGCTGCTGTGAGCTGACTCAGATCCGACTGTCAGCACAGCTTTCTGACTGCTGACAGGGGACTGAGGAGTTGGCCCTTCTGGGACCGGCTGAAGCTCCCCCTGCAATGGAATTCTCTTTGCTGCAGAACCTGTGGCTGCATCACGCCGTGCCGGGCAACAGCCGTGCGCACACACCAAGTGCATCGTGGACGTCATGCCTGTGGTCACCCTCCAGGGCCCTGGGCCATTGATCTTGTCAGCTGCCTATGAAATGTGCTTTGGGTGCCCTCACGGAGGAGTGGCTCTTGATAAAAACCAGGGTTGGAGGAATTGATGGATGTCTTTATATATGTACATAACCCCTGATGCTCTGAGGTTGCTGTGTTTTCGGTGGACTTTGATGTGGAAGAGAAAGTATATTTCAAGAAGAAATCCATGCAGGAGAGAAGACGTCCGTGCCCTCCCCCACGCCCAAAGGCCTCGGGCAGCAGATAGAAAGCAGGTCCTGAGGATTTGAATAGCTGAAGCCTGGTGGAAAACAGTGCTTTCGGCTGGGATGGCTGGCGGGTGGGGAGCGATGACTCAGATTCCCCAGGGCCAATCAGAGAGAGGCTGCTGAGGAGACACGCATTTAGTAGCAGATGGCTGCTTTGTCTCTTTATTTCTTGGAATGGGTGCACTTCAAGAAGAAGCAGAGGACGGTGTCGGTGTCGTAGCGTTAGGGAGGATGAAGGAGAGACGTGTGCCCTGCCATGCCCAGAGATGCCTTCAGAAGAGCCGTTGGCCACATTCTGGTGACAGAAATGGAACCATTTTTTCCTGCATAGCAAATACTCATGTCACTACTCACCCACCCTTGCCTGTGACAGACATGGCCAATGGATCACAGCACTCTTTTCTACGGCAGGCAACCATTAGCAATGGATCACAGTTAGCGCTCCAGATGTCATAGATGACGTAAGTGTTACACCAGGGGAGGGATGAGAGAATGTCTCAGATCAGATGCAATGTAGGCATAAGACAAATGTCACCGTGGTTCTAGAACCTTGAGGCATTCTCTGATTCCCTTCTAAAGGCAATGAGAAATACAGGAAAATTTATGTGAACAATAATGAGACACTACCTTTGTCAAACATTGTTTATGTGCAGACATGGAGCCATTGTTTATGAATGCCATCCTCGCAGCAGAGCTGTGAATCCCTAGCATTGCCATTTTGTAGATGAGGGAACCGTTGCTTCTATAGCGAGGCTGGATGACTTTCTCAAAGCCACACAAAAGGTCAGTGGGAGCCTACTGTCATTAGTATTTCACGCCTACTCCTTAATTATCTTGACTCTCATTCCTCATATACTTTCCCTAGAAAGTTTACCTTAGAGTTTAACTTCACCTGTATTTGAATCCTATTTCCTACACTAGAAAGATTGGGAACCCACACAATGCACATACATGCACACACACATGCCTATACACACAAATGCATGCACATGCGGGAACACACATGCACACACATACAAATGCACGAACATACTTGCACACACATGCACACATGCACACATGTATGCATTCACACACACGGATGCACCTATAAATGCACATGCATGCCCAGAGACACATGCACACATGGATGCACACACACACACATGCACACATGGATGCACATACACACATGCACACATGGATACACACGCACACACATGCACACATGGATACACACATGCACACATGGATGCATGGATGCACACACACACACACATGCATTCACACATGTCTTACAAGGAGAGCTAAGATGTCCCTCCTCTGCATTTACACAGTGTCCAGTGATTATTCCTACCCAAGCTATGGTCACTCTCTTTAATTGTCTAATGATGCATTTATTTCTTCCATAAGATTGTGAAGTAATTTAGCACAAGGGCATTCTTGCTGACTTCTGTAGGTCTTTAGTTACTAACTCATGGAGACTCCATGTTACTTTGTAATGTGACGGAATCCTCTGTGACTGTATACATGTGGTACATCTAATATTCCAACACTTCTTTTTTCCCCATAAACTTCCCTACAGAAACATTGTATGGACAGGAACTGCACGCAGGTGGCTCTGGCTCTCCAGTGGGGCTGATTGTAGTGGGCATTCAGTGCAAGTCTATCCAGAGGAAATGCCTTCAACTTTTCCTCAAAGAGTCTGAGGCCCTTGGGCAAAATACTTTTATGTGAGACCTCTGTCCTTTACTTTCTCATGTTAACAATAGCTGTCATTTATTGACAACTTAATATGCTCTAGGCCCAGTGCTAAGACTCATAATATTATGGCACAGCATTTTTGCATTAGGATATATGTGTAGCATGATATTCCAGAAGAGCTAATTGAAGCTCAGAGGGGTTAAGAAACTTATGTGAGGTCACACAGCTAAGAAGTGGCTGATATTCAGACCCACGAAAGTCTGGCTTCAGAGTGCTCCTTTTAAGCCAGAATTTAGAATCCACTGATCTTGGGTTCATAGAGTCTCCCTCAGTCTGAGGGAGTGATATGAATACCCAGCCCCCACAGAACTGTGCATACCTTCCTTTGATTTGTTTATTTCTGCCACTCACCACCTTCCCTCCATCTCTGCCTGTAGTCGAGCGTGGGTCAAGCGTGGGCTCCGTGGTGAGGCAGAACGAGCACAGACTGTAAGCTGACACTGTGTTCCAGTCACTTCCATGGCTTACGAGCCTGCATCAGACACACAGGTGCCCACCAGTCCCCAAGACGCTCATTGTCCTCGGTTCCCAGCTGCCTGGGAATCCAGAAAGCAAGCTAGGGCATCGCCGGGGTCAGCTGGGCAGACAGATGGAGATGAGCAGAGGTGACACCCGATAGTTCTGTGGGGCCCCTGGTGGCTGCTGCTGCGGCTGGCTGGTAGCTTGCCCTGGCTAATCCTGCTGGTCACCCTTCGTGACGGCTGCGTGGTGTCACTCACCCCACCCTTGCAGTGACTTCTGCTTGCAGAGGCCGTCCTTTGGAAAGCCTGGGAGCTCTAACGGCTTGCTCCCATTTTGGCCTGGGATTAGCCATTGGCAGCCAAGCCCCTGAGTGGAACAAGTTGCATAGCTAAGGTGCCAGATTCCAGGTAGTTTAAGGACACAGGTAGGACTTCTCCAGGTATTGTGTTGTCAAACACCAACAATGCTCATATGCCTTCCCTAGTTGACAGATCTCCTTAGAATATCAAGGCAAAGGAGTGAAGGCCACAGGCTAATTTGGGGGTCATTCTTTGGGTCCATGGTCTTAGACCCCATCCTTCCCTCTACATGAGACATTTACTGGGTGCCTGCAATCAGCCTGTTCAAAGGCACCACCGAAACAAGAGTATGAAAGTCCCATTTCATCCTTGCCACCAGGGAATGTACAGTCCAACAGAGACTGAAACGTGACTAACTAGAAGGGGATTGATGTCATGGGAGTTTGAGCATGAGTGTGTTGGGAGTGGTAGGTTAAGAACCCAGGGGTTGGCAGGAACTTGACTCCTTCTAGGAACTGAACCATGGTCCCTGAGGCTGGAGTGTGGAGGGTTGGGGGGTAAGGGAAGGTGGCTGGGGTAGGGAGCAGGCCTCATTCAACCCTGTGGCATCATGCCGGAGAGCCTGGTTGTTATTTGAGTTTTGCTGGAACATACTGAAGGATTTCAGATGGGGAAATGACATCATCGGGGGGTGTTTGAAAATAGCTTGTCTTCGTGCAATGGAGAGTATTTTGGACAGAGCGAGGGAGGGATAAATAAGACAAATTCAGAGGCTGATACAGACCTCAAGAAAGCTAGGAGAGCAACGGAGAAACATCAGAAGTCTCTGAAAATGATTCTGCTCACCTGGGAACAAAATGACAATGGGTGAGTGGCTTGGATGATTCAACGTCTACACTGTAAGCTTAAATTTCTAAGAAGAATCTAATCAGAAAGGATACTTCTAGGAATGTATTATGTGGCAGTCATTGGACCAGTGAGTACAGATTTTCCCTGAGAATGTTCTATGTTCTATGTGATGTTATTCATAATAGCGAAATAGACCACACTCTGAATGTTCCAGATATCTAATTTAGGAATTAGTTTAACACATCAGAATTCGCCATGTAAAGGAATTCTATGTGCCAATAGTCAAAGAGACAAAATAAATCTGTTTATTGATACAAACATATAGTCATAACACAGAAATAAGGGGCTGGTGCTATGGCATAGTGGGTAAAGCCATGGCCTGCAATGCCAGCATCGCATATGGACGCCAGTTCAGGACCTGGCTGTTCCACTTCTGATCCAGCTCTCTGCTATGGCTTGGGAAAGCTGTAGAAGATGGCCCAAGCCCTTGGGCCCCTGCATCCCTGTGGGAGACCCGGAAAAGGCTCCTGGCTCTGGATCAGTGCAGCTCCAGCTGTTCGCAGCCATTTGGAGAGTGAACCAGAAGATGAAAGACCTCTGTCTCTCTGCCTTTGCCTTGGCCTCTCTGTAACTCTCCCTTTCAAATAAATAAATAAGTATTTATAAAAATAAATAAATAAAATAAAGCAAATAAAGCATGTGTAAGGTCAACAGAGGTAATAAAATGGTATTTTTGGATTACATCTGCATAGAAAAATTCTTGCAGACAGCATGCATCCAGAATATTAACCAGAGTGGACACAAGGTGCTAGAAATCTTGGGTAACCATGAATTGTTTTTGTAATCATCTGTATTTCTGTGTATTCTACCATAATACCATCCACGTATTACTTCATGCAATTTTCAGAAGTTACAAGCTTCAAAGAGAAATTAAACATACTTCTCTATGGAATTGTTAAACACATTGTCTTTTCTTTGCTCTTATTTATCATCTTCATTTTCTTCCTTCTGGAATATCTTCCCTACTCTCTTTCCCTGTTATCTAAGTTGATAAATTCTTATGCAAATTAAGACAGAGTTGAAACAGAAAGAGACCACTATAACACCAAGACAACAGGTAGAAAATGAGGTTGTCGCAGCCAAATTAGTCTATCTGGTTAACCTTTCTCTCCAATTTGTTTTAACTTTAGAGGTTCTCATCCTTTGGCAATAGTTACAAAAATACCTTTTGTTATCTGTTCCTGTCCAGATGGCTATTTACGGCTTTGATTGCTATGGACGATTTCAGGTGCTTTTAATTTCTTTCTCAACCAAGTTCAGGGATAGCAGATACTGTGCTGTCTACTGGCCCTCCCTTGCTTCAATCCTAGGACCACGCCTCCTACCTAGTAATTGCTCAATAAAAGTTGTCTTTATTTAGTAGTAAAATTATTACATCATTCCAGGAAAATGAAAGAAATAAAACTTACTCGGGTCAGAGAGCTGTGGGCCAGCACCCTGGGAAGGTGGTGCCAGCAGTACCTTGCCAAATCAAATCAGGTTTCCAGTGTATTGGGAGTCGGTGAGCCACAGGCGTGGCCGCTAACGCAGCTGGAGAAATTGGCAACAAATGCTCAGCGGATCCTCCCCCGTGTTGGGGGTGGGTTGTGGGCGACCTTTACAGGCTTGTAGTCCACATGGTAGTTTGGAGGTTTTCATACACAAGACTTGGAAGTGAAAGTCAGATGTGATTAAAAATACACATCTTACAGATGTCTGGATGCTGTTCAAGTCCTGCAAAGTGTGATAGAAAATGCAGTTGCTTTCCAGATCGCAGGACAGGAAAAAGGGGCCGTGAAGGCCCTCTGTCTCCTTACTGGATAGGGATGTTCAAGTCACCGCTGAGAAGCTGTCCATCCGGTAACTGGAGGAACGTGAGACCCGTCCCAGGAGAGCAGACATCATCATCATCATTATTATTATTATTATTATTTGACAGACAGAGTTAGTAAGAGAGAGAGAGACAGAGAGAAAGGTCTTCCTTTTCTGTTGGTTCACCCCCTCCCCCCAAGTGGCTGCTATAGCTGACGCGCTGCGCCCATCCGAGGCCAGGAGCCAGGTGCTTCCTCCTAGTCTCCCATGCGGGTGCAGGGCCCAAGGACCTGGGCCATCCTCCACTGCCCTCCCGGGCGACAGCAGAGACAGCAGAGAGCTGGACTGGGAGAGGAGCAACCGGGACAGAATCTGGCACCCCAACCGGGACTAGAACCCTGGGGTGCCGGCATCATAGGCAGAAGATTAGCTTAGTGAGCTGCAGCAGAGAGCAGACATTATTATTTTTAGCTTATGCTAAGTAGCGTAGGTAAGCCCAACATGCGTATTAATATAATTTATGGAAATGAAAAGATATAAAATCCTTGATACTGCCTCCCTGAGACCAGAATAGAACAAAGCTATTTTAACATTTCCTACATTCTCATTTTTTTTGAAGGAGAATCTTTATCTTATTTATTTTACTTTTTTTTTTTTTGTCAGAACTCTGTAACCATATCCAGCCGTCTGGCTTTGTTTATAATAAGCTGTTTACTTATCACCGGTTTAACACGTGATCTGAACATCTGTCTCTTTCCAGCCCAACTTACTTGCTTTCGGTCTTCATTTGAGCTTGAACTTGAAGTCAACATCTTTTCCTGTGGGGCTCAAAGGAGTTGCAGAGACCCCAGAGGTGTTCCCTTGCCAGGGACTTGAGAGGGAATGTTTAATTTAGAAATTCACAGCCTGCCCCCTCTCCCGCCCCCACACCCTAAAAAAAGAAAAGAAAAAAAAAAACACTTGTCTCTGTTACACAGGGAGAGAACAAAATGGGAAAGAAAGGCACTTTGTTTTGCCAGACAAAGACAAGCTATCAATTTTCATAAATCTGCATTCCCAAGGCAACTGCTCAGGTCTGCTTAGAGGTCCATTTCTTTGAACTTGCATACCAGAAAGCATTTTCTCCCTTGTTTCAGAAAGTCGAAGAATACACTTAGTAAGAGTAGATGTAGAATTTAAGTAATGGAAGACAGATAATTTTATGAATTGCAGCAATTCTATTTTATAAGGAGAGGAGTAGTGGAAATGGGAGCAAAGAAATTCTAAACACATTTTATGCAAATATATTTTCTGGAGATCCAGAGAAGAATCCTCTTTGCAAACATAAAAATTATGTGTGTGTGTGTTTGTATGCATTGATGTATATGTGTGTACACACACACATGGGCACTTCAGAAAGTTCCTGGAAAAATGGAATTAACAGGTAAGTTTATTTTGGTTCAAAAATTTTTGAAATCCATGCATGCAAGGGGTTTTCAAAAAGTTCATGGGAAATGTGTATTGTGAAAAAAAACCTGTGGATTTTAAAATCTTGTTGCACAGAAATAAATTCAGCTTTTAATTCCATTTTCCACACTTTTTAAAGTGCCCTCTTTGATATATCAGCTTGCTAATTATAAGATGAACATTTACATATGATAATTACACAAGGAGAATCTGGTACATTTCAAACAAGACTGACAACTTGTGCTTAAAGAAATATTTTGAGGGCTGGCACTGTGGCCTAGCTGATAAAGCCACTGCCTGTGATGCTGACATTCCATATGGGCACCTGTTTGTGCCACAGTTGCTCCATTTCTGATATAGTTCCCTGTTAATAGTCTGGGAAAAGCCACAGAGGATGGCCCAGGAATCTGGCCCGCTGCCACCCATGTGGGAAACCAGGCTCCTGACTCCTGGCTTCAGTCTGGCTCAGTCCTGGCCATTGTGGCCATCTGGGGAGTGAACCAGTGGAAGGAAGATCTCTCTGTCTCTCTGTAACTCTATCAAATAAATAAATAAAGCTTTATTTTTTAAAGATTTATTTTTCATTTATTTGAAAGACAGAGTTACAGAGGGAGAGGTAATGACAGAGAGGTTTTCCATCTGCTGACTCACTCCCTAGATGGCCACAATGACTAGAGCTGAGCTGATCCAGAGTCAGGGACCAGGGGCCTCTTCCGGGTCTCCCACGCGGGTGTAGGGGTTCAAGGCCTTGGGCCATCTTCTACTGCTTTATCAGGTCATAGCAGAGAGCTGGATCAGAAGAGGAGCAGCCAGGACTAGAACCAGACCACAGTGCCGGCCCCAATAAATAAACAAATCTTTAAAAAAATATTTTGAGGGCCTACGTTATGGTGCAGTGGGTTAAATGGCCATTTTTCACACTGGTATCTCATATTGTAGCATTAGTTCCAGTCCCCAGTTCGGTTCTGTTTCTGATCCAGCTTCCTGCTAATGCACCTGGGAAAACAGCAGAAGATGGCCCAAGTGCGTGGGTCCCTGCCATCCATGTAGGAGATATGAATAGAGTTCCACATTCATGTCTGTTACAGCTACTTGGGGGGTGAACCAGTAGATGGAAGAGCTCTCTCTCTCTCTGTCTCCTTGTGTGTGTGTTATGTGTGTGTCTTCCTCTCTCTGCGACTTTCAAATAAATCTTTATGAAATATTTCTGCACCAGAAAAAGCCAAATATTAGCAACATTTACTGTTCTTCACATCTTAAGACCTTTCCTCTTGTTCATTTTTTTTTCTTTCAAGCCATCAACCACTGACCAAGTAACGTCTTGTACAAACAGAACCCTAGCCATACAGACATACGAACACCATGTATACTTAGCACGATATCTGTCAACCTTAATCTGTTTCCCAGCAAAGTTTGCTAGCTGGGTCTTTAAGGCAGACAGAGCTCAAGGTTTGAAGACAGCCTAATATACATTCAGTTTCTTGTCTAACTAGATCCCATAAATCACTGAGCATACATCGATTGAAATAACACATTGACAGAGGCCACGACTTGGACTTTTGAAGTTGACGGCTGTCCGCGTAGATTAGTAGTATCAGGCAGTCAGGGCTGGGCTGGTAGGCTGATGTAGACTGGGGATTGCTACTTGGCTGATGATGCCTGAGAGGCATTTGGTTCTGCTGACCTCTCTCACGGGATTTTTCGTTCAGCAGCATGGAGAA